AAAAAAAAAAAACTAGAGGTATTAATAATAGTATAGCATTATATATAGAGAAAAAACACTTTGTATCATTTTATTTAGTCTGTACCACATTTATTTGCTCCTAATGATTTTTCTTTTTTGGAACTAAACATTTTTCTCACTACAATAGTAATGGATATGCACTGTGGGATATTTTCAAAAGGAAGGAAAATAAAAAGGAAATAATCATTCATAATTCTACCACCAAAGACCCATGGTTAACATTTTTGGATAACTTCTTCCAGTTTTTATCTTCCTATGCATTTTTTATACAATGAGGTCATACTGCATATAACAATTCTGGAGCTTACTTCTGGTTTTGGCTTTTTTATTTAAGATATTACTTATGCAATATAAGTATATATCAACATATGACAGGACATTAGCTTTAGCCTTAACATATATTTTATATATACACATATATACTATATGAGGATTTTTCAACACAATATTGTTTTATTTTGGTAAATAGATATCACTGTGTATAAATTAGTGATTAACTTTCTCCTTTGTCCCTGTATTTTGTAGCCCTAACCAAAGTGGAAACTTCTCAGAATTTACTCCAAAACAAATCTGAAACTGAAACCTGTTCAAGATGTTTGTGAGCAATTTTTGTTTTAAGGTGAATGTGAAAACCATGGACTCTGAGATGTTTGTATTATCTATGGTTTTTAATTATCTAGCTGCTCCCAAGAAAGATAAAAATTGGAAGGAAGGGGATGGAGGGGTGGAAAGAAGATGTCTAAGACAGACAGCAATAATTTTACATATGTAGAAAAGCCTAACCAAGCAAACAAAAAATACACAAGGGACAGACAGATGAGAAGGTTTACCTGGGCAGAGAAGCCTGGGCGGGTACTAGGGGTCCAAGCTGGGGCTGCTCCCTGGGTAGGATTGGAGTGGCGAGAAATCTGGGCCAACATCTGCCCTGCAGAAGCTGATGGCTGGACAATGGTTACAGGAGGGGCCAGACCACTATTTCTAGGAGTGAACAAATAGTGAGGTAAGGATTAAAAAGGTGCATTTATCACAGAATCTAGGAATCACAGGACAATCTAGTGCTATACCTAGATTCCCTTGACTCCCTGGGGTTAAGGAAAACTTGATAACAGAATTTGAAAAAGACAAGAAAGACTGACAGTCATACACTGATCAGGACACACAGAGATGGAACCTAGAACATGGCAACAGGACAGGTGCAAAGAAAAAGGAGGAAGAAAGACACGCTTGTCTCATCCTAGGCCTACAAGTTCCACTGCTTTGTCTGAAATAACCAGAGAAAGTTAGGGAAGAATAAAACTTGGATTCAGTAACTGAATCCCTCAGTTGCCATGTAAAGTAGCACACACATATGGGGCTCACCTGAAATTCTCTGCCGGCCGGGAGGTAGGAGGGAATGTGTTGCCCTGGGAGAATAACTGTTGGGTGGCAGGGACAGTGCTGGAGGAGATGCCTTTACTCTGATCTGTGGACCAAAAGGAGTTGGGGGAGGGCCAGTCAAGGGGCTGTAGTATATTAGTTCAGCAAGTTCCTATTTACTCATGAAGTATTAGGATTAAATGGAAATATACTGGGAGACTACTGATTGGGCAATTGTAGGCCCATCAATAAGTGATGAAAATGAGAATTTAAAATGAGAATAAGGAAGAAACATACCTGTATTGATGTTGGAGTAGATTTCTGAAAATCTTGGATCTCTATCTTGGGCAAATAGACCCTCTGACTTCTCGAGGGGCTTGCTGTGTTCTGGCCCTGTGGTTGTCACAGGCTGAACAGAAACCTGTGGAAATACAATGATAAAAATAACCAAGAAGGTTTAACATGACAACTCAATAACCATAAAATTCATGTAAAGATACACATATACTCTAACTGGTTCTCAGGGATACTTCTTAAGGAAATGCTCACCATCCTTCAAAGAAGACACACTAACCTGGGAATGATTGTAGCTGGCTAGTCCATCTCTTCCTGGTACCACATCCAATTCTGTTTGCTGTTGCTGCTGCCTATATGTTAAAGGCAAGTAAAGAGAGAAACGGAAAAAGAGATTTTTAAAAAGAATCTGGGGAAAGGGCTTAAAACAAACAAATAAACAAAAAAGTGGGACTGTATACAGCCACAACCCCAGGCTAGTCACTGCTCAATAAATGATTCTTCGACCATTTCTCACCTGGATGCCAGCTGCCCTGAGCCCATCTCCAGGGATAAATTAGCTGTGGGACCTAGCTGTGGCCTCTGGATTGTGTTGGGCAGTGTAGGCCGTGGTTCCTGGCTAGAGTTCCTAGGAAAATGAAGAGTAGAGAGAACAAAGAAAAAAAAAGTATCTGAATCTGTTTGTATATAAGACTTTATAGATTCACCTGTACATGGGGTAATCACTGATAAATTCCCCTTTCAAGTCCAATCCTACGATAACCTGTAACTTCAGATTCAGCAAATAATTCACACTACAGAAAACATGGTACAAATAGAAACTATGTCCTATGGAACAAGAGTTCATCCTGTTTGGGCTCTAACTCTTTCCAGGTATTCAATACCTAGTCGTTGTGGATGTGTGTATGTATATGTTGTATAGCCATATATTGTGTTTTTAAAAAAGCATAAATAGGGCTTCCCTGGTGGCGCAGTGGTTGAGAGTCCGCCTGCCGATGCAGGGGACATGGGTTCGCTCCCCGGTCCAGGAAGATCCCACATGCCGCGGAGCGGCTGGGCCTGTGAGCCATGGCCGCTGGGCCTGCGCTTCCGGAGCCTGTGCTCCGCAATGGGAGAGGCCACAACAGTGAGAGGCCCGCATACCGCAAAAAAAAATAAATAAAAAAAAAATAAAAAAGCATAAATAAAAAACTGAAAGTACACAATGAAACATTAACAAAGACTATTTCTGGATAGTGAGAATTTTTTTCCTTCTCTTTACTATTTTCAATACTTTCTGCATTTTCTACAAAGAGTATTTATTACAAAATAAAATATTAAGAATCAACTAAAACTTACTGTAGTGGGAAAAATTGTAGTATACAAAAATGGGGAAAGCCATTATTTCCAGAAACAACTTCTTAAAAAGACTTAAACATTTCAAAATTTAAGCAAAACAGAAACACAAAACAGTTGTTGTTCTGTAATATAAAGATACAAAATCAAAAACCCAAAAAACTACAATGACCTGAGTCCTAAGTTAATGAAAATTTCTAACTGAATCCACTCTGTTATACTAAAATTAATTAGCAAAGAACTAAACTTTACAAGCCCTAAAAGTTGAATTGGAGGACAGAGACTCAATGTTGTCACCGATATTATTCACACTTGCTAATTATTCATAATCAGATCTTCACACGTGGGTTTAAGGCCAATTCTACACAGAAAGATTAAATGGAAAAGAAGTACCTTGACAACCGACACCCACTAGGATGGGTACAATAAAAAAAGACAGCAAGAATATGGAGAAGCTGGAACCCTCATACATTGCTGATGAGAATGTAAAATGGTACAGCAGCTTTGGAAAACATTTTGGGAGTTCCTCAAAAGATTAAACATAAGAGTCACCATGTGACCCAGCAATTCTACTCCTAGATATATACCAAAGAGAATAAAAACATCCACACAAAAACTAGTACACAAATGTTCATAGCAGCAGTCTTAGTAGCCAGAAAGTGTAAACAACTCAATATCCATCGACTGATGAATGGATAAACAAAATGTGGTATACCAATACAAAGCAATATTATTTGGCAATATAAAGAAATGAAGTACAGATACATGCTACAACATGGATGATCCTTAAAATATTATACTAAGTGAAAGAGGCCAGTCACAAAAGAACCATATATTATATGTTTCCATTTATAAGAACAGGCAAATTTATAGAGACACAGAATAGAATAGTTGTTACATACGGCTTGGGGAGGATGACTGTTAATTAGTACAGGATTTCTTTGGAGGTAATAGTTTTTTTGTGTGTGTGGTAATACTTGCACAACCCTCTGACATACTTAAGAAACTGTACACTTTAAATGAGTAAACTGTATGGTATATGAAATCTACTTTAATAAAATTGTTTCTTACAAAGCTGAGAAAGTTCAAAGAGAAAAGAATCAAGGAACAGAGAAACAGAAGCTAACAAAAGAGTGAATATAGCTATGCTCTAAAGCAAACTATGGTCGGTGGGCCAAATCCAGTCCGTTGCCTGTTTTTGTAAATAAAAGTTTACTGGAACACAGCCATCTTTATTCATTTCATTTGTCTAGAACTGTTTTCGTGCTGTAACAGCAGAATTGAGAAGCTGCAATAGAGACTGTACGCCTCACAATGCTAAAATATTTAGTATCTGGTCTTTTACAGAAAGTTTGCAGATACCTGCTCTAGAAAAAATTCCTGTCAGACTAGAGTAATAAACTGGTGTATAAAAACCAAAATCCTGGGCTTTCCTGGTGGCGCAGTGGTTGAGAGTCCGCCTGCCAATGCAGGGGACGCGGTTCGTGCCCCGGTCCGGGAAGATCCCACATGGCCACAGAGCTGCTGGGCCCGTGAGCCATGGCCGCTGAGCCTGTGCATCCGGAGCCTGTGCTCCGCAACGGGAGAGGCCACAACAGTGAGAGGCCCACGTACCACAAAAACAAAACAAAACAAAACAAAAACAAAATCCTTTCTAAAAAGGGTTGAAACATAAAGTTGAAATACAGTTGACCCTTGAACAACACGGGGGTTAGGGGAACCGACGCTCTGAGCAGTCGAAAATCTGAGTATAACTTATAGTCGGCCCTCCATATATGTAGCTCACGTAGTACTGTAGCATTTACTACTGAAAACAATCTGCATATAAGTGGACCCACACAGTTCAAACTCATGTTGTTCAAAGGTCAACTGACCAAACCCTTCACATTTCAGAATCTAGTCTCTAAGCTACTGTTTGTTAAAATTTTACTCTACCTGTATAAATCAACTATACTCTAGTAAAAAATTAAATTAAAAAAAATTTTACTCTACCTGGATGAACTACCCCAAATTCTAAGAAGTTGGAAGATGAAGAAATAATGGTGTTTACTACTAGAAAAGTAGAAGAGGAGGTAACCTGATAAGACTAAACAGACTTGGCCCGTGAGAAATCCCAACATTGGAAAAGGTCTTTATGGTACATACTTCACATTGGTGTTGGTACAGATGATGTACTCAATTTCATCTGAGTAAGGGTTCTGGAAAGTAAAAGAGCTGGTTCTCATCCAGAGCCATTCTCGGTTCTTAGACCGAAACCGGAACATGACAGATAGCACCTGGCCTTTTAACTTCACCACCTGAAAAAGTTTTCATGCTATCAGTTGAAACCCACAAAAAATTTTCTTTAGACATTTACAACCTTAAGATCCTTGTGTCACTGTCCTTGAAGTAACAGTCTCTTGCAATGTTACTAACAAAACAACATTTTGTTGTTTTGGGGAGTAAAAATAAGTGACTAAACAATAAGAAGGTATATTTATCATGTTTCTTCTCCGAGTCCCAAACTATCTAACCACTCTTGTCAATATCAAACAGGAGTAACAATTATTCCAGGAGAGAAAAGACTACCTTTCTCCACTTCCTTTAGAAAGTCCCTTAAAGATACACTGATCTAGCAAATTTACTAGGAGTTTATAAGTTTAATGACACTGAACATAGCTTATATGTTGCCCCTCAATGCTAGCTTTTTCTGCCAAGCCTGAGAATTTGTTTTCATAGCACCCATGAAGGTTTCTATAAATAAAACTAAGTTGGCTTTAGTTTTGTTTTGCTTTTATTTTTTAAAAGAAGGCAATTTTAGATCATTTTAGTTTCTAATCTCAAAGAACAGAAAATAATCTTTTGAACCCCCTCTTTAACAGTAAAAAAATAATATTAGCAGTTAACATTTATTTGGTACTTACTATATGTCAAGCACTAGGCTATGTGTTTTTTTCTTTTTTTAAGAACAACATTTATTTAACATTATAAAAAAGAAATGAGATATGAACATCTACATTTAAACAATAATAAGTAGTCTTTAATACATGTGCTCACTGTATAATATATGCACAATGAACACCATTACATTTGTATACAAACTAAGTACTGGATTTGAAACCTGATTATTACTGTACATATCCATGCCAATCAAGTGTAAGCCCAGTAATTCAAAATACCTGCACTTTAAATTGCTTTTTAAGAAAAAGTTAAGTGATAACATTTGTGTTTAAGTTGACAAGAGTGTGGCAGTAACTGCTGACATTACAATCTGACTGAGAAATAATTATAACAGAAAACGGGACATACTTCACTTAGCAGTAATAAAATGGCACATTTAAAATACATAAATAAAACTTTAAAAAATCAAATGTGAAACAAAGCATGACAAGAACCAAAATGGGAAGAAAAAAAAAAGAGAAAAACAATCATTAGAAATAGCAAGTAAATTTATGTATTGAAAAGCAAAAAACAATACAAATCCATCTAGACATAAGAAACATCAAAATCTAGATATCAGCAACTAGTAAGCAGCAACTAGTCTGCACATTAAAAAGTACCTTTGCTTCTGTACTCTAGTATCATAGCAGCAACTGATGTCAGAATAAAAACCATGAGATTACAGAGTGTATATATGGCCCATTGCTTTGGAATAAACATTTTTCTAGAAATGATAAAGTGATACTCTGTGGCCCAAAGCGTCAGAATTATGAATTTCATGGATTTAAAATATACTGTACAACATCTTCTCGCACTGCCAGAAGTCCACGTCCTTAGCTTTGAATGGTTTCAACAGAAGTCAGAATAGCTTTTCTAAGACTACACTACAAAAAAAAAAAAAAAGACTACCCATACATGGAATGTGAGTGGATGGAACAGGTGATGCTGAGGAATTAGAGAGACAGAGAGACTTTTTACTGCTATTGTCTGATTTCCTCTAGAAGTTGGCCTTTGTGCTTTAAATGCTTTATCTTATATATCCATCATATCAGTAAAAACACTATTGAGGCTTAAAGAGGAAAACTAACCAGTCTAATATAAAGTAAGAGCTACTATCTAAAGCCAAGCCTGTCCTGAAATTAAATTCGCCAGATGTTTTCAGGATCTAGGGCCTGAAATTAAGAGTTTGCTTACAATTAAGAGCTAACTTTCACTCATCTATAAAAAGAACTGTGAAATGAATTTTTCAACTACTATCCACTGTTCAGTGAAGTGTAGAATATTTTAAATACTTTAAAGACAGCCCCTTGGATATAAGACACTGAGTACCCAAAGCCAAACAAAAATACCTTGAACATTATCCACAGTTTCAAAGTACTGGTCCTTTTCTGTTTCTTAAAAATACAGGTTAAGTACTAAAGAACATAAAATTGCAGGGCTTGCCACAGTACTCGATTAATCAGCAGTCAATAAATATTTGTGAAATGAATGTAGGAATAGATATTAGATTAAAATAATATTCCAATCCAAACCAGGAAAAAAAGTTACCTGTTGGAAGCTGTCTCTTAGAAGCTGCTGGTCTTCAGGATGACAGAATTCTACAATATTCTTTCCTAAGAGTTCCTAAAAGAGAAAAAGAAGAGTAAAATTGACACTTTTATGATCATCTAACTTTCCTGGGCCATTAGCAAGGGACTTGGATTTCATTTCTCTTGCTTTTATCCTAAGATTACGGATAAGAGTGGAGGGGGGGAAAAAAAAGACAAACAAAAAAAGATGGATTCTGCTAAACAACTGACCTCTAGAGCATTCTTCTTTTTCAGGATATTGTACATTTATTTTAACTGAAATTTTTACAGATTTGAGGTATAATTTAGATAAACTCACTCATTCTAAATGAATTTTATAATTCTAATTTATGACCTATAATAAATTTATACAGTTGTACAACCATTACCACAATTCAGTTTTAGAACATGTCCACTGCACCCAAAAGTTCCCTTCTGCCCGTTTGTAGTCAATCCCTGCTCCTAATCCCTTGGCCAACCACTGATCTGCTTCTGCTTCTTCAGTTTTGCCTTTTCTATACAAATGGAATCATACAATAGGTAGTCTTGTGTGTCTGGCTTCTTTCATTTAACACAATATTTTTGAAGTTCATCTATGTTGTTCCATGTATCAATACTATCCCTTCTATTGCTCATAAATATTCTAACATGGATATACCACAGTGTGTATCCATTCACTAGTTAATGGACATTCCACTTTTTGGCTATTATGAATAATACATATATGAACATCTGTGTATAAATCTTTGTGTGAACATATGTTTTCATTTCTCTTGGGTAAATACTTAGGAGTGGAATTGCTAATTTGTAGGGTAAGTGTATGTTTAACTTTTTAAGAAACTGCCAAAATGGTTTTCCAAAGTGGTTATACCATTTTACTTATCTACTAACAATGTATGAAGGTTCTGTTTCTCCATGTTCCTGCCAATACTTTTTGATGATAGCCATTCTAATGGGCATATAGTGGTATCTCATTGTGGCTTTAATCTTTACTTTTCTAATGACAAGCAACTATTTATATGCCATTCATATTGCTTCTCTGGTGAAATGTCTATTCAAATCTTGTGCCCCCCCCTTTTTTTTTTTTTTTTTTTTTTTTTTTTTAAATTTATTTATTTATTTTTGGCTGTGCTGGGTCTTCGTTTCTGTGCGAGGGCTTTCTCCAGTTGCGGCGAGCAGAGGCCACTCTTCATCACGGTGCGCGGGCCTGTCACTGTCTCGGCCTCTCCCGTTGTGGAGCACAGGCTCCAGACGCGCAGATTATTTTTTTTTTTAATAAATTTATTTATTTATTTTTGGCTGTGCTGGGTCTTCGTTTCTGTGCGAGGGCTTTCTCCAGTTGCGGCGAGCAGAGGCCACTCTTCATCACGGTGCGCGGGCCTGTCACTGTCTCGGCCTCTCCCGTTGTGGAGCACAGGCTCCAGACGCACAGGCTCAGTAGTTGTGGCTCACGGGCTTAGTTGCTCCGCAGCATGTGGGATCTTCCCAGACCAGGGCTCGAACCCGTGTCCCCTGCATTGGCGGGCAGATTCTTAACAACTGCGCCACCAGGGAAGCCCTTGTGCCCCTTTTTTACTGGCTGGTTATCTTAATGAGTTGAGAGTTCTTTAGTATGGATACAAATCCTTTTTCAGATATATGATTTAGAAATATTTTCTCCCAATTTGTGGCTGTTTTTTTCACTTTCTTAATGATACCCTTTTAAGAGGGCAAATTTTAACTTTTATGAAACCCAACTTACCAAATTTTTTCTTTTGTGAATCATGCTTTTAGGGTCATATAAAAAACCTTTGCCTAGGGAATTCCCTGGCAGTTCAGTCATTAGGACTCGGCACTTTCACTGCTGTGGCCTTGGTTCAATCCCTGGTGGGGGAATTAAGATCCTGCAAGCTGCACAACGTGGCCAAAAAAAAAATCTTTGCCTAACTCAAGATCACAAAGATTTTATCCTATTTTTTTCTAGACGTTTTATAACTTTGGCACTTATACCTTTATATCTTCGAGTTGATTTCTGTGTATGGTGTGAGGTAAGAGTCTAAGTTCTTTCTGTTTTGTTTTGCCTATGAGTATACAACTGTTCCGTCACCATCTATTGGAAAAGCTTCTTTTCCCCTTGAATTGTCTTGGCATCTTTGTTGAAAATCAGTTGACCATAAATATGAGAACAGACTCGATTCTCATCTACTGATCTATGTAACTATTCCTACACCAACACCACACTGTGTTGGTAACAACAGCTTTACAACAGGTGTTGCATCAGGTAGTGTAAATGCTCTCTGACTTTGTTCTCCTTTTTCAAGATCTCTTTTTCACCAACCTCTTTACAGAAGTCCCTCCTGGCAGTTATAATTTTGAAAGTTTATGTAATGACTTGTTTCTCAATTCAGACATAGTTACCTGGTCTGCTGAATGAGATATCTAAATAAATCATAATAACTGGTACTAAATTTGCATACTTTATGGGTTACTATGCAACTAGATGATGCTATGAATTATCTAAAGGTGGCCAAATCATTATAACTACTTAAAATGAGCACTTTTGCATCATTATCTGTATTAATATCACTAACAAAAAAGTAATACATTATCTGTACCTGCTGCTCCAGCCTGGTTTCACAAGCCATATTTTTCTAGATCAGATGATAACCTTGGTAGGAAGCTGAAATTATATTTAGCTATCAACAGACTAGGATCATCTCTTTTTCTGAGTTGGGGCTGACATGTTTTGGCTATCTCTGGAATTATATGATTGAATAATCTCAGCATAGCAAAGGGAAAACAGAAGCCTAAATATCAGTGGTGTAATAGCTCCAGCTCCTCACCTGTGGTTGGTAGCCAATGGTGGCCACACAGCGATGATCCACAAAAGTGAAGATTCCCTCAATATTGTGTCGAGAGATGAACTCTGTTGGCTGACAAACATTACTCATGTCTGTACAGTTGGGAGAACTAGTTACCTGAAAGAAAAGAGATAAAAATGAGATAAAATGACACCATTCTTTACAGATGTATTTCCCATCACGTTTCCAATTTTAGGAATTTCTAAACTTTCACAACCCATCCAAAAAGGAAAAAGTGATCATTACAGATAGGGCATGAGGCCTAGCTCCACTCCTACACATGTACTCTTCACAAACTTTGTAAAGAAAGGTAATAATTCATTCAACCTAAAACCCACTTACTTTCATTTAGCTAGGTGGTATTCACTATTCAGATTGGAAAATTATACTCCTAAGTAACCAAGAAACATCTGTTTTTATAAGGAGAATCAAAATAATTCCAATTCTCTACTGTTAGTCATGTAATGAAAAATGAAAAGATCTCTCTTCTATTGTATAGGAGCAAAAGAAATTAGTTGGAAATAGAAAATTCAGAATTGCAAAGTTAAAAGTACAAAAGAGGAAAAGATCTCTCTCTCTCACTCTCTTCAGCTTCTGCTAAATCCAAGAGAAGCAATGTTAACTATGAATACCATATTCCTCAAAATATTCGGAGTTTTTCAGAATTCTTCATTTGTATTCAGAGAGTAAAAGAAAAAATAACATGAAAACATCCTGAAGGAGATTTTCTCCCACTGAAAATGGGTGATATAGATGTGGAAAAGTCATACTTGCCTGTAGTCTGCCAATAGCCACTAGGCAAAACTTGCTCCCCTGGCCAGCCTCTGGGTCATCATCTGGGAGGGAGACACCTTCAGGAAGGTGAAGTTAAAAGGTTTAACAGGTATCTCAAACTCAATTGCCTTCAAAAGTCAGATATGTAAAATTTAAAGCACATGTAGGTATGAAGAGACTAGGTATGAAACAATACAGACTGCTGAAAGATAAGAAATAAAGGCAAACAACCCAAAGAACTTACCATATATATCAGGTACTATTTTAAGTGCTTTTATATATATTAATTCATATATTATACTCACATTAATTATAATAAACTGCAGAGTACAGGTCCCACTCAAAGTATTCTAAAAGACTATGCTGGCCAAACCAAATACATATGAAGACAGACATTTACTCTGTGACAGGCAGAGAACGGATGTCTTGCCTAACCTGTGACTTTCAAAGTAAGCAAACAACCAAAAATGAGATTAAACCAAACACCAATAGTTATTTATGTACTTTGGAAAAGAGACAAGCTAGTGCTTCAATGTTTATGTGTAAAGGGAAGAAGGATGCATTTTCCCCCTACTCTTTGCATATTTTTCTTCTTTTTACCAAGAAAAATAGTATTTCTTTGAGAGCTACACAGAAGTATAAAAGATCATGTGTATCTCAAATACATGGTTTATACAGTATATAAACTAAAAAGTTCAAACTTCATTATGACTTAAAATTAATTTTTCTTAATTACATTTAACTACCATTTATTGGGTGCCTACCATATGCCAGGCACTAGGCTGAGTGCTTTCCTTACATTAAATCTAATCCTCACAATAACTCTATATGGGTTATATTATCTCTAAATTATAGATGAGAAAATTGAGGGGCTTTTTTTCCAATACAACTCAAGCAACTTACCCTAAGTTATACCACTAATAAATAACAATGCCAGAATCAAACCCAGGTTTTTCCAAATCCAAAGTTTAACCTTTACCAAAATACACCACCTTGCCTCTCTTAGTTTCTATCTCCCTACAACCCCCACTTCCCAGGCACACCTAGCCAGCAGGGAGGTAATAAAATTGCTACGATTTGGAAATTCTGACAAGCCAGGTTAAAAGGCTGATCCTTGTACCCCAACCACTTTTCTCACATTCCCTTTTTGACTTCAAGTTCTAGTAAAATTAATCTGCTCACATCCTGATTTAAAGTCTTTGCAGAGAATATCCCCTTTACAAGTTACAACAATCAAGCCATTTCCCCCCTTCTCCATCCAAGTCTTGCTCCTACTTTAGAAGACTTTCCCAAATCAACTGCATTCAATGTCAACTGCTTCTTTGCACACAAATACTTAGATACAGGTATTCAGTATACATTACTATTTGGACATTTAAAAACTACATTCTGTGACACAGCCATCACCAAGTCATTTTCAAGTCTGAGTAATCCATCTCCCTAAATAGAATATAAGATCCATAAAGGAAGGGAAGGAGTCCACTTTTTCTTTCCTATTACAGTTTATACCAAAGTACATTTCATATACTACAGGTACATGATAAATATTAGCTAACTTTCTTGGACTCTGTGAGGAACTTGCTGCACCCAGGAAGAAGTCACTGTTCAACTTTCCTACCTGCTGGGGGCCAGGCCTTGATATAGCCTGTGCAGTGGACCACCACGAAATGAGGTTCCCCATCCTTCACAGAGCCAAGTCCATTCCTAGAAAAATTACAGGTGTGAGGAGAAAACCCTACCCAGTAACATTTAAAAGGCAATGCTGGCTTAGTACCTTTAACTTTAGGCTCTTGGGTGTTTATAAAACAGGACGACTGTACTTGGACCTTTCCCACCCAAAAGTGACCAGCATATTTTTTACCTTTGCCAAAGTAAAGCAACTGAAAGGTACTGCAGCAGGAAGAAAGTATCAATAGGTAAAGTGGTAGCATAACTTCCTTAAACAGGATGAGCAAAAGCTTTAGAAGTTCAGGAAAATATTGCCAGAAAAAAGTAACTGGGAAGTGAGGGATGAGGGTGAGGGCTGCTGAAGGAAGTAGGATAGTAAAATAGTTGAAAATGTGACGATCTCTAAAGGTACTTGGCCATCCCTTTGGGTTTTTTTTTTTTTTTTACAGCTTAGGATCTCACCTGTATCTGTTTCTTACAAAGCTCAGTCTATTCATGGAGACTGGGTCCACAGAGCTACTGCCACACCTGTTTCAATGAACAGAGAGATTAAAAGCAATTAAGTTGCACTATCATTCATACAACTCAACAAAAAAACAAACAACCCAATGAAAAAATGGGCAGAAGACTTAAAAGAGACATTTCTCCAAAGAAGAAAATACAGATGGCCAACAGGCACATGAAAAGATGTTCAACATCGCTAATTATTAGAGAAATGCAAATCAAAACTACAATGAGGTACCACTTCATGCCAGTCAGAATGGCCATCATTAAAATGTCTACAAACAACAAATGCTGGAGAGGGTATGGAGAAAAGGGAACCCTCCTACACTGTTGGTGGGAATGTAAGTTGGTGCAGCCACTGTGGACAACTGTATGGAGGTTCCTCAGAAAACTAAAAATAGAATTACCACATGATCTAGCAATCCCACTCCTGGGAATATACCCAGACAAAACTATAATTCAAAAAGGTATTATAGGGCTTCCCTGGTGGCGCAGTGGTTGAGAGTCTGCCTGCCGATGCAGGAGATGCAGGTTCAACCCCTCGTCAGGGAACTAAGATCCCAGATGCTGTGGAGCAACTAAGCCTGTGAGCCACAACTACTGAGACCACCTGCTCTGAAGCCCACACACCACAACCAGAGAGCCCACACGTCACAACTACTGAGCCCATGTGCTCTGGAGCCTGCACACCGCAACTAGAGAGAAGCCCACGCGCTGCTACGAAGAGCCCATGTGCTGCAACTAAGACCCGATGCAGCCAAAAATAAATAAATAAATAAATAAATATCTTTTTTAAAAAAGGAAACACAAAGCAGTTATTTAATCTGCTCAAGGTCTCAGAAGATAAGTGATAAATCCAGTAGTCTGGGTCCAGAAACTAAACCACTAAGCCACATAATATTCAATTTTTAAACTCCCCCAGGAAACCTTTCTTAATATCCTATTTATCATTTCTAAGAAGCATCCTCTCGTACAATGTAGTCAATTTCCATTATACAACCTGAATTTATTTTGTGACTTTAAGAGGTGTTTTCTCTAGCTGTGAAGAAAAGTATCACCATCCTTTCTTCAGAATCCTAAAATGTATAGTATATAATTTATTAATGCTAAATATTAGGTGAAAGACATAATAAAGTCTTAAATTTCTACAAAAAAAGGAGGAGTGCAGAAATGGTCTGAGTACATGGATGTTGCCTTGTGATATACTGGGGAAAAACATAGGTATTGGCATCCAACTAGTATGGATTAAAATAAAATCCTGTATCAAACATTATCTATGTAATCCTGGGAAGTCAATTTCTTTGAGTCTTTTTTTTTTTTTTAATCAGCAAAGTAGTAACCATGAATTCTACCCTATTGGGCAGTTGTGAGAAATGACATGACAGACATAAAGCACCTATCATAATGTTTGGCATAGGAGGAGTTCAGTAAATGTTAGTTTCCTTAACGCTTTATTCTGTGTTACAACTTACGTGGGTCTTGAGAGCTAAATTTAATCTAACTGGAGCTTGGATTTAGAAGTTTAACTCCTCTGACAAGAAATCAAACCCTCAGCTCTTAATTCTTCCTATGGCAAATCACAATCCTCATCCTGACACTCACCTCATACGGCAAATAAAAGATCTCCTTGAGCCCATACACATCCTCATGGAAGACTGCTGACCTTCCTTTTTCACTGTTCCAGTCTTCAGATCAAGGATACGCCCTGAAGAAGGATGTGAAGAACAGTCTGGAGTACATTCTTGTGTGTGGGGAAGAGGGAGAGAGAGATACTGGAGGCAAAGATAAGTAAGTAGCCTATTCATGCTCTCCAATCTCCTTGCTTGTAAGAGAATAAGCCAAGTAGGAGATGGATTTTTTCCAAGCCTAAAACACCTCAGTTCCCATCAGTGAATCTTACTCTTCAGTTCAAAGCACTGGAAATAACTTTGACCAAGGCAAGACAGGAGTAGAAGTAGGTAAAGTTGGCAAGCAAGAGCAAGGCTATATCCTTAGGTCTGATTATTTTTATAAACACGCATGCATGTGCATATGCACGCACACACACACGCATGGAGTGAATGTCACTGGTTTAATAACAAGTAATTTTATATGCTACAGAAACACCCATCTGTCTCACGCTAAAATTGTTCCTCCCTTTATTATACAGAAACCAGTGGGAACTTTTGGGAAAAAGAAGAACTAGGAAAATGAAACCCATAAAAACATAAATGAAAGCTAAATACCAACATTAATATGACCATAATGGATTTTATTTTAATTACCAGTTTTAATCTGCTTCCACATTAAAATTTTTTCTAGATCGCTTAGGAGCAGATGTGACTTGTTTCCTTCAGCCAAACTAGGGCAAAAGGATTGAATAACATTAAATGGGGTGGGGGGGTGGAGGTGGGGGCAAAAACAAGACAGAAAGATAGTATCAATACAAAAAACCCCAAAAATACACCTTATACACTGATAATAATCCCCCTCTAAAATAAAAATCTACTATCATAGAACCTAATACCAAGCCAAAGCCAAGCACAACTGGGTAGAAAAAATGCCAGGTATTTACCCATACAAATGAGACAGAAAACGGATAATTTCATTCTTCTGGAATGGCTGGAGGGGTGGGGGTGGGGGTTATTGTAGGCTTGGCCTTTACTGTGTATTTATACTAATATTAAGATCAAAGTAAACTTTTTATGAGCATTGTCACTAATGAAACATTTTCTAAAGATGAGCTACAAAATATATTACCTGCATGTGGATAAAAAGAACAGATTATATTCATTAAAGGAGAAAATTCTAAAAGTTTTGCCAGATTCAATCAAAAAATTTAAGAGTTAAAACACCTCTTCTATCTCAGAAAAAAAAAGAAGAAAGAATTTGCCATTCATTTTCCATCCATATTAACTCATACCTGTCAGGGCATTTTCCGAAGTGGAAAGCTGCTCACGAAGTTTGTCCACATCATCTGGGTGCACCTGATCATAGAGTGTGCTACCAAACCATTCAGACTGCGGCTGGTTCAAAACAGGGGTCACTGAGTCAGAGACATATACCACCCGGCCTGTCTCACATGAGACAATAAACAGAAAGCCATCTGCTGCCTCCAAGATCAAATGTTTCAGCTCCTGCCCAAGGAAGAGAAATACAAGTTAATACTGAACTCTTCTGAAAAATCAAATATTATTCATGGAAAGAAGAAAGACACTTCAGGCCATATGTATCTCTCCATAAGTAATTGCTGGCTTCTATCTAATCCACAGGCACAGCTTTGCAACCTAAATGTAACTACCTTCACGGACAAGAGAGTTTTTTTCCAATAGGTATTTCCTCAATGTGTCTATGTCACTATCCACCTCCTCCTCTTTACCTCAGAACTCAAGACAGGGAATAAAAAGGCTTACCGTTAACAATAATTGAATTATTGGGCTTCCCTGGTGGCACAGTGGTTAAGAATGTGCCTGCCAATGCAGGGGACACAGGTTCAAGCCCTGGTCCGGGAAGTTCCCACATGCCGTGGAGCAACAAAGCCCATGCGCCACAACTACTGAGCCTGCGCCCCAGAGCCCGCTTGCCACAACTACTGAAGTCCCCATGCCTAGAGCCCATGCTCCGCCACAAGAAAAGCCACCGCAATGAGAAGCCTGCGCACCGCAACGAAGAGTGGCCCCCACTCGCCACAACTAGAGAGAGCCCGCACACAGCAATGAAGACCCAACACAGCCAAAAATAAATAAATTAAATAAATAAATAAATTCTAAAAAATTATTTTTAAAATAAATAAATAAATAATTGAGTTCTAGATCTCACTCTCTCTGGTCTCTTTTTAGGATCTTGCTCTACAAATATTGGCGTTCTTCTCTCTCTTTCCCCTCAGATCTTTTTCTTAAAAAAATAAATTTATTTACTTATTTATTTTTGGCTGCGTTGGGTCTTTGTTGCTGTGCACGGGCTTTCTCTAGTTGTGGCGAATGGGGGCCACTCTCTGTTGCGGTGCGCAGGCTTCTCTTGTTGCGGAGCACGGGCTCTTGGCGCACGGGCTTCAGTCGTTGTGGGTCACGGGCTTAGTTGCTCCGCCGCATGTAGGATCTTCCTGAACGAGGGCTCAAACCTGTGTCCCCTGCACTGGCAGGTGGATTCTTAAACACTGTGCCACAAGGGAAGTCCCTCCCCTCAGATCTTAAACATGATCAAGTTTTCTCAATTCTACACAAAACTTCCCTCAACTTTGCCCAATTCATCTTTCAGCGCCAAGCTTAAATTAAGAGTAGTGTTACACTCACTGGCTCTACTCTCTTACTTTTCACTTATTAACCTCAAACCCACTGCAATCTTCACTCTAGACCACTACATTCATGTTCTTTCAGGTTACTAATGTATTCCTAAATGCCAACTCAAGTCCCCTTTCCTGAGTCCATATCATTTTAGTCAATCTCACTGCATATCTGACAGTGTTGTTCATTTTATCCTTTAAATTTTATTTCTCCCTAGCTTCTATGACACTGCACTCCAACTTATACTTCCTTTCCAAATGTGCCTTCTCTGCTTCAGGTTCCCTTTCCTTTGCTCAAGTCTCAAGTGTAGGCATTTCCAAGGTTCTATCTTAAGTTCTCTTCTCTATTCCATACTCTCTCCCTGAGAAATCATATCCACTCCTCCATTAAGAAATGATGCCCAAATCCATATGCCTAGACTTGCCTAAACTCTATTAAGCATCTCCAAATAGACATTTTACCAGTAATTCAATTTCAACATCTCAAAACCTATCATTTCCCCCTTCGAAAACAATCCTCTGTGCTCTTCTAGCATTCCCTTTCTTGACTAACAGTATCCCCTTCCTCTCAGGATACAGGTCTCAAAACTCTTAACTCCTTTTTCTCACACTCCAGGGATAACTCAGTTTTATCAATTTTATTTTCAAATACAACGTCACTGTCCTAGTCATCTCATGCCAAGACAAATGGTCTTCCTGCTTTCACTGTCTCCAATCCATCCTTAAAATGCTACCACATTTTTTATAGCTCCCCATTGCCTAAAAATTAAAATCTAAATTATTTAACATAACACCTAAACATTCCATCATCAGGTCCCAGCCTACTTTCCTATTACCATCTCCCAAGGCATGCTAAACTACCTGATTTTCCTTGAATAACCTGATTATTCTCACTATGCTTTTGATCAAGTTATTTCCAATATTTACAATCCTATTCCCCTATTCTTTGCTTTCCATATTTGCACTTCTATAGGACTTATTACTACACCTCCTTCTGATACAGAACTGATTCTGTGTTTATATTATGACTGATTTACTTACATGTCTGTTTTTACCAGTGACTATCTCTTACCATTCTTTACATTTCTAATAGCACAAAGCACCTGGTTAGCGTACAAAATGTGCGTTACTAGAGTTTGTTGAATCAATATCTGTATGTGTTCTGTTAGAACAAATTGATTAGCTATTTCATTGTACATATATATAAAACCTGTGCTATATATGTACTTTCATATAGACCATCCTATTTGGAAAATTCTTATTGCTTTCTTCCAAATTATATTCTTTCTTTCCTTCTAATCCTCTGAATAAAAGCATGGCATCACAGGTCAATTTTTTCTTCCCTATACTTCCTATATTTTACAAATTTTTCTGCAATAAACAAGTGTTATTTTTAATAAAACACAACATGGCTTCCTTACTCTTTGAAGTTTTTGCTGACTATTCTCACTCAGGCCTGGCCATTCTATTCACTTTAGCTATCCCTCTAGTGTGTGTGTGTGTATACACACACACACACACACACACACACACACATATTTAATCCTATATAAATTATTAATAAGTTTTTTTAAGGCATTTCTTCTCCGTACCCATTTTCCTATCGTTTTTCACTTATGTGTGTATCCTACCACTCACATATTCATATTCAGACTGAGTTCCTGAAAGGCTGGAAATGTTTTTGCCTTCTCTATTTTTCTCATAGTGCATCAAATGTAACAGAGCACATCTCTAAGCAACAACAACTTCCTATTAGACTCCTTGTATCACTAAAACTGGAAGCTGCTTCAAGAATAAAAAAATAGTTTCCTTCCATCTTCTATAACCCTAAAGCCAAGGAAAAAGACTGGTTCGTGGACACAGTCATTTCTTCTCCCTGTGATTCCACTGTTCTTCATGAGTACAGTTCTAAAGTACCTATAAGTTTTGCTAAATAGCTTTCCCAATTGTTCTCTACTTCTCACTGCTCCAAAGCTAATAAATGGTATAGTCAGGGATCAAAACTCACTTTCCCAAGGTCTGAATATTTCCTTCAGAGTGGAATTCTTGTGCTTTAAAGAATCTACAGGGACTTCCCTAGCGGCACAGCGGTTAAGAATCTGCCTGCCAATGCAGGGGACACGGGTTTGAGCCCTGGTCCAGGAAGATCCCATATGCTGCGGAGCAACTAAGCCCATGTGCCACAACTACTGAGCCTGTTCTCTAGAGCCCACAAACCACAACTACTGAGCCCGCAAGCCACAACTACTGAAGCTCGCGCGCCTAGAGCCCGTGCTCCACAAGAGAAGCCACCGCAATGAGAAGCCTGCGCATTAGAACTAAGAGTAGTCCCCGCTCAACCGCAACTAGAAAAAGCCTGAGTGCAGCAACGAAGACCCAAAGCAGTCGAAAAATAAATTAAATAAATAAATAAATAAGAAACTACAGGCTTAGCTCTGCTCTGACTCCCAATATAATGCGCTATTCAGGATTATGGTCATCTACCCCAAAAGAATCAAAACCTTCAAAAGATTATAGACTCTCTCAGCTGTGCTTCCCAGAGACCTGATCAGTGAGGAAAGACGGCTTGTAGGTGCCATCAGTGGATGTGTTGCCAGTTCCTCGCAAGGACTTCATGTGAGAAACCGCCATGCGTAAGATGGTTAGCTTGTCTGGTTTTCGAGCCAGGGCACTACAGGTGGGTACCATGTCTGACAGTTCTGTTATGTAGGCTGTCATCTTGTTCCGTCGGCGCCGTTCAATTTCACTATGGTTTTCCCTGCATGGAGAGAGAGAGAGGAGAAGCCCCATCCAGGTGGTCACATCTGGCCATTTGGGAGCCGGGAGAGAGATATGAATACCAAGTGAGCTGCTGAAGAAATATGGTATTTAGATTTAGTGATGCTTAAGTCTCAGAAGTTAAAGTAAGGTTTGCCAAACTTCTCATGCAGAGCAAGTATGGAAGAGAAACTAATGAGGCAGAGCAAGTATGGAAGAGAAACTAATGAGGTACAAGCAGATACCAGCAATTCTAACTCCTGGAAACTTCACTTCCTATGTAGATTACCACTCCCTCAGAACAAAATGTGTTTTAAGAAATGACAGTCTTGGGAAGCAGCCACATAGCACAGGGAGATTACCTCAGTGCTTTGTGACCATCTAGAGGGGTGGGATAGGGAGGGTGGGAGGGAGGGAGACACAAAAGGGAAGAGATACGGGGATACATGTATATGTATAGCTGATTCACTTTGTTATAAAGCAGAAACTAACACACCATTGTAAAGCAATTATACTCCAATAAAGATGTTAGAAAAAAAAAAAGAAATGATAGTCTTAAAAAATGTTGAAAGCAGCTTGGCTGATTTCATGTCTACCAGTTCAACTTTTTAAAGGCTGAAAACATAAAATGACCAATTTTTTCTAACACAAGTATGTTGCTCAACAGCTGATACAAGAATTGATAGTATAGATTCCCTTGGTCTATAAAATGCTGTTTGTTCTAAGCATCTCCCTTATTCTCAACACTAGACAGCAGAATTGGAAGTTTTACTTGTCCCACTAATGCACAAAGCCCTACCTTCTCTATCTGGGTTTGGTGCCAGTACACTGAGCTCATGAGATTTGTAAGATATCATCTACTAGAGGTCCCTTATGGGTGCCCAATTGGGGACAAAGTGAACTGGAGAATAGGAGTGAAGTGGACAGGAAGATGTTTAAAGGCCTGAAAACATACAATCTGGATCTCACCAGGGTAAGTGGAACATATCTCCAATACTGACTTCCTCAAAATCAAACAGAGTATCACTGTTAAAAATAATAATCCAGTAGTTTTCAAACTGGATTTCTGAAAAGCCTAATAGTTCCTCAGTGTCTTCTATGGGACTGCTTCAAGGAGAGACCCAAACAACATGCTACATTTCTGTTTTAACTTGAGCAGCTTTGCTTTTGTCTTTTTTACTGACTTCTATTACCACTTAAGGATTCTATTGGAACAAAAGTTCTCTGCCAAAACAAAAAGAATACAACAAATCTAACATAAATCTCTTTTTAATGATAAGAGCAAACTAAGGTCAAGCAGTTAATTGACTCTTCTAAGGGCTGCTCTCATTCCCAATGAATGCAATGTTCTTCCCACCATACCACACCAATCAGTTTTATGAAGAGTGAAAGAGTTCGTAGGAGGCATAAGTTGAAATGGCAGCAAAATGAGCTTGCGGCCCAGCTGAAAGAGGAAATGGTAGGTAAGAGGGGGGAAGTAATAAAAACTGGTACTGGTATTAGTGATCTACCTCCTACTGAGTCATCCCAAATCACTGAGACCAAAAAACAGGAAAATTTGGGCACAACATTTCTTCCACAGTATTTCTACATTATCGACAACAGTCTCCAAAGAGAACTCCATAGAGTCTCCTTCACTGAAAAGGTCTCACAACATAGATTCACATTTAGTTACTTTGCCTGAGAAACATAAAATTCTATGCTCAAACATAAAGCACCCATTTTCCTAGCATCTGACAGATTTCTGACACTGAAATCCATAAGGCTGATCTTTTAAACAGCCACATCTAGGCTGCTAAGCTTTTCTGGGAAACACAAAAGATTCAATCACCAAAGCAACACCAGTACTGCTGTGACAAAGTAATCTAGGCTGTGAGTCTACATAGGAAAATAAGGGTGAGCCTTCTAGAGAGGTGTGGAGTAAATACTGAGGCCTAAAGACTGGGAACTAATTGCAAACACAGATATATTTATTGGTTTTCTGATAAAGGAGTATTTCCCTGGTACAGCTGCACTGTTTCTGAAAGCTTTTTAGTGCTAAGATGAAGATAAAAAGAGAAATCTATAAAAACTAATAGCAATTTCTTAAATTCCTAAGTAAAGTTCCTTCAACCACCCACTTTCTGATGGGGGAATCCAAAGTTCCTGTTACACACAAACTTCTAAAAATCTTGTCCTCTCTTGCCACAGACAAGGAAAAACACGAAGAGAAAGGGGAAGAAAAGAGCAGGATAAGAAAAAGGATAGAAAAAGCAGCATGATCTGCTTCATCATGCCAAAAGACACTGTTCTCCTACCTGGCGAGTCTCTCCTTATCCGCAGAGCTCTGCTCATCATCCGACCTAGAAACAGAATTAATGAACTAAGCTAAAAGTAAAATAAAAGGAAAGAAGGAAGGAAGGAAGGGAGGGAGGAAGGGAAGAAGGGAAGAAAGAGGAAGGAAGAAAGGAAGGGAGGGAGGAAGGGAAGGAGAGAGGGAAGGGACAGAGAAAAAAGGGAAAGGAAGGAAAGGAAAGAAATAGAACAAAACAGATGCAGAGAAGAGAGGGGAAAATGGAAATATGGACAAGAACCTTGCCTGTAACTCTACAAAGCCATCTGTTAGGACAAAGGTCAACATAAAAGCAAGGCCAATATTCATTATAAATTAACATAATCTGAGCACAGTAAGCCAATCATTCTCTGTAGAAACCAAGGATATACAAGAAACAAGAAACAAACAAGGGAATACCATTCTCACACACTGCTCCGAATCTGAAAAGAAAATGATATCCACATATGCTATTCTATAATGAAAAAAAATCAAACAGTAAATCATGATAAGAATGTCAAACAAGTGATCACAATCTTTCTATAACACACATACAGCACACATGCACTCACAGACAAAATAACCAAACAGCTTCACTGGAGAAATTACATAAATGAAACTAAGAGCTAAGTTTCTGATATATTCCCTAGCAATGATTTGATCCTAAACTAGTAAATTTCTATTCAGTCACTTTACCATTTCTCTGCAATAAAGCCATAACATTGCTAGATCCTAGTACCAACTCCCCCTTCCCTGGAGGGGGCTACAAAGATTATCACTAAATTTCTCTAGATAACTAAAATACTATAAGGGTTGGTGACAACTGAAGAAACAAGATGTTGGTAGGCCAGTTTATCAGTAATCAATTCCATCTTAAATATATATATAAATATAAAGAGATTAACAACAAATAGAGTAAGAAAAAAAGTCTAAGTATGACCTAACAGGCTGAAAGACTAGCTATTAAAAATGACAAGTATCAATGACTTTATCAATATATGGGAAAGTTTCTAAAAAATGGCCAGCAGGAAAAAAAAAAGAGATAAAAAATAACACAGTAATGATAAGAACCATGTGAAAACTTATGCATACTTACCAGAAGAGAGAAAACAATGATATTAAGTGAAGTTTCATGTTCATTGGGTTGTTATAATTCCTTAACAAACTACAAATCATTTTTTCAAAAAGTTGGGAAAATTCATTTAAGCTTCTAAAGACCCTCTAACTGAATTCCGAAGGAGGATATATGAGGTGAACTAGCTTAACAAATCATATCTTAAAGAAATGAGTTCTGGGAATTCCCTGGAAGTCCAGTGGTTAGGACTCCGCACTTTCACTGCTGAGGACACAGGTTCAACCCCTGGTCAGCGAACTAAGATCACACAAGCCACACAGTATGGCCAAAAAGAAAAAAAAAAAAAGAAAAAGAAATGAGTTCTTTTGTTTGAAAGTTAAATATCTAAAATTCCTATTACTACTCCTACCCCTACAGATCCATAATCCCTTACCCACTCTAATATTTCCTAGTGAAATACATGAGTGTATAAATATTCACATTAAGCAAGACAAATGAAGGCTAAAACAGTTCAGGTCATGTTTTCATAGCTTTTAGGAATTTCAATCAAGAGACTGTGAACCTGTACCACCACTACTATTTGATGGCTTCACTTTCTAATGCAGCTTTTGAAAAACTACTCCCCAAATCCCTATTATTAACTTCTCATTTTAGAGATGGTTCACATCCTAAAATGTTTACAAGTATCTACTTCAATAAACAAATGCTTCAAAAACCTCTTAAATTCACTCCTTTCCTACTGTCATTGCCACCATTCTAGCCCAGGCCCTCATGATTTTATCACTGTCTTATTATTTGAATAGCCTCCTATCTACCTCCCTGACTACAGTGCTTCTGTTTAATCAGTCCTATATACTGCTACTAGAGAAAAATCCCATATGCACTTTATATATTAGCATCTCATTCAAAGCTTATGATGGCATCTCACTGCTTCAGAGTAGTTTTAAACTACTCTGACTGATATTTCTTAGCCCTCTACATCAATTGTTCTCAATGTATGGGCCCCAGACCAGCAGTATCAGCAATGAATAAATAGTACATGTTTATTAGTTAAGCATTGGATTTGGGATTATTCACTTTTCTGAGGTGGCTGCAAACTCGATTTTTAAAAAACAAATAACTTACTACTTAATAATATATAGAATAAACTTTCTAAAAATAAACCAATATTTGACTTGAGAAGGATCTGTTTAATAAAGCAAAGTATTTTTCATCCTCTTGACAGATAAACATATTTTTTTCAATAAAAACTCCAGTCTTCACATAAATCATTTCTTTGCTGTTATTTTTAAAAGAATAAAATCATTATCTATACAGATTTTATAGATCCACTTAATAATAAATGCAACAAAGAAATTCATATTGTTTGTGTTCCTGTGGACACCCAGCAAGCACACTGTATAGCTATCTATCACATACATAAAAACACTGGGTAAAATATACCATTAGTTTGAAGCCGTAAGTCTGAAGCCCTGTTACCTGAATGTAAACAACAAGTATAATACTAAGTTTCACCAGCTTTCAGAAGAAGAAACAGACTGGATAGAGAAATTAACTCTCACTGAGATAAAATTAAAACTCAGTATTTTTGAATCGCCTGATCCCACGACAAGAACCAAGATGCTCTACTACATTACCTGGCAAACCGCTCCTTATCATTAGACATCTGATCGTCATCACACCTGAAGGAGAAAAAAAGGGGCTTAGTCCAAGGCATTACACTTGTTATATCTATTTCACTCTGAAAGGAAAACTAGAAAGGGGTAAAAAATATTCAATAAAAAAAAGCCAATGAAAAGGCATCACAAAACAATAGAGATAATAAGAGCATCCCACAGAACTTAAAAACCCATGACTATTATTTGTCAGGTTTCTAATGTATCCTTTACTCTTACTTATCAGACATTCCAAAAAAAGATGATGATCTCATGAGGGCACAGCTGACTACCCTGTCAACACCACTGAGGTTAGGGATTGTTTTGTTTTTCATTAATTATAGCAAAAAACGTGTAACATAAAATTTACCATCTTAACCATTTCTAAGTGTACAATTCAGTAGTGCTAACTACAATATATTCACACTGTTGTACAAAATATCTCTAGAACTTTTTCACCTTGAAAAACTGAAATTCTATAGCTACTGAACACCATCCTCCCACTCTCCCCGCCCCCATCCCACGCCCAGCTCCTGGCAACCACCATTCTACTTTCTGTCTCTCTGATTTCGGCTACTTTAGATCCTCATGTAAGTGAAATCTTACAGTATTTATCTTTTTGTGACTGGCTCATTTCATTTAGTATAATGTCCTCAAGGTTCACCCACACTGTAGTATGTGATAGAATTTCCTTCTTTTTTAAGGCTGAATAATATTCCACTAGCTGTATATACCACACTTCTTTATCTATTCATTTGTCAATGGATATTTTGGGTGCTTCCACCTCTGAGTTACTGTGAAAAATCGGGCAGTGAACATGAGTGTGCAAATATCTCTCCAAGATCCTGCTTTCAATTCTTTTGGATATATCACCAGAAGTGGCACTATTGGATCATATGATAATTCTGTTTTTAATGTTTCAAGGAACCTCCATACTGTTTTCCAAAGTGGCCAAACCATTTTACATTCCCACCCACAGTACACAAGAATTCCAATTCCCCCATATCCTCACCAACACTTGTTATTTTCCGGGTTTTTTGATGGTGGCCAGCCTAATCGCCTACTCATTGTGATTTTGATTTACATTTCTCTGATTAGTGATCACAAGAATCTTTCCATATGCTTTTTGGCCATTTGTGTATCTTCTTTGGAGAAATGTCTATTAAAAGTCCTTGGCCCATTTTTTAATCAGGTTGTTTTTTTGTTATTGAGTTGCTGGAGTTCTTCAAGTATCATGGAAATTAACCCCTTAACAGATATACAACTGGCAAATACTTTCTTCCATTCCATGGGTTACCTTTTCACTCTGTTTCCTTTGATGTGCAAAAGTTTCTAAGAGTCTTAAATTATGATTTAAACAATGAACTTTATCTCTTTGACTAAGGAAACACAATCCATTCATCTCAACAACATCTACTTAATAAGCTGATAAATCCTGTTTACTACTACAGAAACTGCAAAGGAGGATGTGTTGAAGGAGGAAAACCTAACTCTGAAAACATTACTCTCTGGATGATCTAAATTTTCTTCTCACTCACTGTCACAGGATATAGCAAAGACCTATCAACTTTGGGCAGAAAGAGCTTTTGGGAGATAGGTAAGACTCATAAAATTTACAGTTAAACCAGTTATTAAATTACAGCCAGGGCTTCCCTGGTGGCACAGTGGTTGAGAATCCGCCTGCCAATGCAGGGGACACGGGTTCGAGCTGTGGTCCGGGACGATCCCACATGCCGTGGAGCAACTAAGCCTGTGCGCCACAACTACTGAGCCTGCGCTCTAGAGCCTGTGAGCCACAACTACTGAAGCCCACATGCCTAGAGCCCGTGCTCCGCAACAAGAGAAGCCACCTCAATGAGAAGCCCACGCACTGCAACGAAGAGTAGCCCCCGCTCGCCGCAACTAGAGAAAAGCCCGCAAGCAGCCACGAAGACCCCACGCAGCCATAAATAAATTAATTAATTACAGCCAGAATTTATATTGCTCCTTCACAGGCTATAAATGCTCAACTAATTTGACCCCAAGAATTTTCAAAATTTTGAAAATAACTGGAAAGCAGAAGTAGAACGGGCAAACATGGAGGTATGGTGGAATTTGGGCTCAAAGACAATTGGTTTCTAAGACACAAAATATACTATAAATCAGATGCTACAAACTTTTTTTTTTTTTTTGCGGTACGTGGGGCTCTCGCTGTTGTGGCCTCTCCTGTTGCGGAGCACAGGCTCCGGTCGCGCAGGCTCAGCGGGCATGGCTCATGGGCCCAGCCGCTCCGCGGCATGTGGGATCTTCCCGGACCGAGGCACGAACCCGTGTCCCCTGCATTGGCAGGCAGACTCTCAACCACTGCACCACCAGGGAAGCCCGCTACAAACTTTTAATGAAAACAGTGATCTAAGCTGAAAAAAGAGACCTATCATTTACATATTAATTTTGTTTGTTTGTTTGTTTTAATTTACTTTTGGCTGTGTTGGGTCTTCGTTGCTGTGCACAGGCTTTCTCTAGTTGTGGCAAGCAGGGGCTACTTTTTGTTGCAGTGTGTGGGCTTTTCACTGCGGTGGCTTCTCTTGTCGCGGAGCACGGGCTCTAAGCACGCAGGCTTCAGTAGTTGTGGCACATGGGCTCAGTAGCTGCAGCGCACAGGCTTAGTTGCTCTGCAGCATGTGGAATTTTCCTGGACCAGGGCTCGAACCCATGTCCCCTGCATTGGCAGGTAGATTCTTAACCACTGCACTACCAGGGAAGTCCTTTCATGTTAATTTTGAATCTTAAGAATGAATCTTCCAGATATTTGCTACTCAAAGTGTGATCAGTGGACAAGAAGCAGCAGCATCACTTAGGAATCTTTTAGAATGCAGAATCTTGGGTACTACCACAGACCTAATGAATTATAATCTCTATCTTATCAAGAACCCCTGGTGGATTTGTACATGCATTTGTTTGAATTTGAGGAGCATTATTCTAGATACTAGCAACTCTGATATTGTACCTAGAATTTCAAAGCCTTTATATTCTTTTTTTTTTTTTTTTTTTTTTTTTTTTTTTTTTTTTTCTCTCGTTGGTTCTCCCCATTCCTGTCCATCTTCCGCAGAAACTGCAAAGTGTACCAAACAGGGGGTTAAAGGCACTGACTCTGCAAGTGTGGAGAGTGTCAGGAAAGCGTCTTGAACGGCCAACACGAGTTCCAGGGCATGTAAACTGAGATGCATTTCAGGAACGTTGCCCAATCGCACGTTGGACCATACTCTGGGTTTCCCATGCATGTCTTAGCGGAAGGAAGAATCCCTAAAACCTGGGGAGTTGGGACCCATGGAATGGGTACCACACAGTATGAATTCAAAGGGGCTGCCTTTGCTCTCTAAACCTCACCATTCATATCAGCCTCTAGTGTCCAGCCTTATGTCTCACATAGCTGTGGGTGTAGATGTGGTAAATCCAGGTTTCATCACGAGTCTTGAAGGAATTATGTAAGAATGTCTCTCTATTTCACTGTCATTGTGATTTGGTTTTGAAATTTATTTTTATACAGGGATTTGGCTGATTTTCAGTGCTGCGTTTATGTCTCTCTACACACGCTTGATTCTCTTACGGAGACATATAAATACATAGGTTTTAAGATTCCTACCAGTCAGGTCTATTCCTATGCGTTGAATATGGGGTGTTGAGTCCACTTCGTGGAGCAAGGAGTAGCTCTTGTGTATTAAATATTTGGTTTCTGGAACGGTATCTGTGCTGATTTCAATCTCTTATTTATGCAGCACCCCCATTCAGCTTTCCCCTCTTCAAGCATATGTTTGTTTTCTAAATGAGAGACTCTCTTCTGTTTTGTAATTCACTCCATGTGTAGCCAAGTTTACATTCCCTGTATTATTGATATCTTATGATGTTTCTTTTTCTGTGTGACTTATTTCACTTAGAATCATCGTACCGGTATCCACTCATTATGCTGCTATGGGCCTGATGACATTGATTTCATTGCAGAGTGATATTCCATTGCACGTAAGTGCCACCACTTGTTGACCCATTTTTTGCTGTCGTGGATATTTATCTTGTACCATGGACGAGGTTCTCGTAAAGAGGGCAGCACCAAACTTTGGGGTGGCTCTGTCTTTTTGATTTCAATTTTCCTAAGCCTAGTGCATCTTTTTTTTTTTTTTTTTTTTTTTTTTTTTTTTTTTTTTTTTCTTGCGTTATGCGGGCCTCTCACTGTCGTGGCCTCTCCCATCTGCGGAGCACAGGCTCCGGACGCGCAGGCCCAGCGGCCACGGCTCACGGGCCCAGCCGCTCCGCGGCACGCGGGATCCTCCCGAAACGGGGCACGAACCCGCGTCCCCCGCATCGGCAGGCGGACCCTCAAGCACTGCGCCACCAGGGAAGCCCAGCCTTTATATTCTTAAAAATTATTTTATAGTCTCCCTCTCCCTCTCTCTCTCTCTCTCTCTCTCTCTCTCTTTTTCTCTCTTACTCCTCTTCCTCTTCCTCTTTCTCTTTCTCCTTCTCTGTTGTGTGAGGACACAACAAGAAAGCAACCATCTGCAAGCCAAGAAGAGAGCTCTCACCAGAGCCCAACCACACTGGCACCTTGACCCCAGACTTCCAGCCTCTAGAACTATAAGAAAATAAGTTTCTTCTGTTTAAAAAAAAAAAAATTATTTTATAGATGCTGTCTGGAGAATGTAACAAAATGACACTTGGGACTTCACTGGTTGCACAGTGGTTAAGAATCCACCTGCCAACACAGGGGACACGGGTTCAAGCCCTGGTCCCAGAAGATCTCACATGCTGCAGAGCAACTAAGCCTGTGCGCCACAACTACTGAGCCCGCACTCTAGAGCCCATGAGCCACAACTATCAGTAGTTAGTTAGTTAGTAGAGCCCGTGTGCCACAACTACTGAAGCCTGCACGCCTATAGCATTATATATGGCCTATATCTCTGTTGTCTGTGCTCTGCAACAAGAGAAGCCACTGCAATGAGAAGCATGCGCACCACAATGAAGAGTAGACCCCGCCTGCTGCAACTAGAGAAAGCCCACACACAGCAATGAAGACCCAATGCAGCCAAAAATAAATAAATTTTAAAAATAAATTTTTTAAAAAAATGACACTTGAACAAAGTGATGAAAAGAGTAATAAATTACAGCTTTCATCCACCAAGGAGATTTAATATTGATTTACAGATACAATGCAAATAAGACTTTCACTCATTGACCAAAGTGGAGAATTCCAATTTAAAAAAAAAAAAAAAAAAATGTATTGGGAATTCCCTGGTGGTCCAATGGTTAGGACTCCACGCTTCCACTGCAGGAGACATGGGTTCGATCCCTGGTTGGGGAACTAAGATCCCACAAGCCGTGAGGCCAAAAAAAAAAGTACCAATGGTCAAATAAAAAAAATTGGTGATGCCTCACTTGGGCATAATGACCTACTTGGTAACATGAATTATGAAAACCTTTTCTTATGGTTGGGAGAAAGACAAATAAACCTTTTTAAATTTGCATATAGTTTGTGACTACCAGATTTTGTGGAAATGGAAGAAATGACTCAGGGATAGAGCTAACTGATAGGTATAAATAAGACTAGTGGTTACCTCTATCTCATTCATATGCACAACACAGTTCCACTAACAGTATTTATCATTATAATCAGGGATTCCTAATTGGAGGAATTCCTAATGGAACTGTATGAAAAAAGTCTATTCTTGAACAGAATTTGAAATCTCTACCCCTTTTCATATTTGTTGACACTCATTAAGTCTAAAGAGCTCTCTTGGAGAACTGCTTTCTCCAATATTTTGCAACTATCTCTTTATGGTGGCCAAGTCATGGTTGTTGTTTTCAAGAATATATGGCAGTGTTCCATGACTAGGCAGTAGCTAGAAACACAAGCTTTCACTTTAAACATTGCAAAAACAACAACAATAATAAAAAAAGATACATAGATAGATGTAACTGACTAAACTAAGCATTATAAAACTAAACAGTGGCAAGCAATTTACAATATGGGCATCCTCTGTGTAAAAACAAAAACTGAGGAGACAATGAGTGTGTGTATGTGCACACACATATATGTGCATTTAAATACACTTACATATGCACTGAATATTTCTGGAAGGATACTTGATAAACTGGAAACTATAATTGTCTAAGGGGAAGGATTCTGAAGGTCTGAAGTGAGGGAAGATGTACTTTCATTACATATAACTCTGCACTGTTTAAAAATTTTGCAATATAATGTTTATATTTCTTTTAAGAACTTAGTTAACAAAACAAACAAATAATGAAGCCTGGGCACTCACATAATAAAATAAATTGTTTAAAAACTAGGGCTCCTTTATTTATTTCTCAAATATTTGTTATTCTACAACGTAGACACTACCTAGGTAATATTTTCAAATTTGAAAAGAAAAAAGGCAGGCTGCAGTCAAGGTTATCTTCCATTCTTTGACTCTTATTGCTTTCCTTACTTAAAAACAAAGCCAAGTAACTGGTCTTAAGCAAAAATAAAAATTTCCCTTTTCTGAAAGAACTCCTTCATCAATATACTGAAAAGTCCATCTTCAGTTCTCCAGAAGATTCACTACTCAAAGATACAAATTCCAATTCCTGCCTTGTAGGAGAAGTCAATGAGTACTAGAGGGCATGAAAGATTAGTACATTAATGACCCCGAAACTAATTACACCTTGCAGTATTCACTACCTGGTATAGCGCCATCCTGTACTGAATCAGGACTCGGACATATGACTTGCTTTAGCCAATGGAACAACAGCAAATGTCAATCCAAAGCAATACCTTGATAAGCATTTAGACTAGGACCTGCCCTTTGGATTGCAGCCATCACCATGTAAAGACACTCAGTCTGCCCTCCTTAAGGATAAAAGACCACAAAGAAACAGATACCCAGCCTTATCAGCTGAGTCCAGTTCCCAGCTGACAAGGCAGCTGAATGCAGTCTTATGAGTGAGTCTAGGCAAGATCAGCAGAATAACCATCTAACCAATCCACAAAATTGTGAGAAATAATAAATCATTGTTCTTTTTAAGCCACACAACAATAGATAACTGACACAGAGGGTCTTGTAAATTCTCTGCTCTCCCCTCATTGAGCTCTTTCCTCTGGAGCTATTACCAGAATGCTTGAAAATTTTATGGGGTATAATGTAATAGGTAACTTTAGTTTTAGGATGAATCACTCTCCTTAGGCCTAAAGACAAAAATATTATGAGTCAGAAATATAAAGATAATGAAATAATTTTTAATATCAGAAATCTAGACAAAGTTTTTAAAGATCTTACCTCAAAAATTTACTGTTCCCTTCTCCATCATCATCAAAATCCAATCTGGGGAAAGCCAACAAAAAATATTATAAGCCTACTGAAAATGCAGAACATTAAAAAAATTAAAATTCTAAATCCACAAGCTATCTGGACACCCACTCAGATGGACGAAGGAAAAGAGGAAGTGGAATAAGTAAAGGTATATTACCTCTTCCTGTTGTACCAGACTGGGCAAAGAAACTGGCCAATCAAAAAGGAATAGCAGGGCTTCCCTGGTGGCGCAGTGGTTGAGAGTCCGCCTGCCAATGCAGGGGGCATGGGTTCATGCCCCGGGCCGGGAAGATCCCACATGCAGCAGAGCGGCTAGGCCTGTGAGCCATGGCCGCTGAGCCTGCGCGTCCGGAGGCTATGCTCCGCAACGAGAGAGGCCACGACAGTGAGAGGCCCGGGTACCGCAAAAAGAAAAAAAAAAAAAAGGAATACCTATTGCTACCTTTCATTTTCCTAGGGTAGCAATCCACCTTTGCCAAAGTTTTACATCACAGTACAACCTCTACAAAAGGAGCAGGATCAACTCAAAAAGACAAGAAAAAATTAATATGAATAATTCAGGACCGTTTTTCATTTCTATAGTCTGCTTTAGGCTATGTTAAGCTCTCTGAAACATCTCTCAAAACAGTGATGTTCCATAGGGAGTGATTTTAAGACCTCTGGAGGTTGGCTAGTTGGTTGGTTGGTTGTTTTTTGGCTGCGCTGCACAGCTTGTGGGATCTTAGTTCCCAAGGGACTGAACCCAGGATTGAACCCGTGCCCTCAGCAGTGAAAGCGTGGAGTTCTAACCACTGAACCAACAGGGAATTCTCCGAAGGTTGTTAAATAATGTTTCTCTCCTTTATTCACCTAATGAACATGTAATATATGCTACATTCCGGATACTGTGCTAGATGAGGTGAAAACAAAAGACTTGCCCTCAAGGGATTCTTTGCCTAGACAAATAAAATATACAAGTGAGAATGAGAAAGGGTCATATGGAGAGCACAATCAATAAGCTTAAATGTTTAGTAAAAGCAGAGGTGACTTTCATTTCAAGGGATTAGGCAAGATTATAGGTTAACAAGATAGGCCAATCTCCTATTAATCTCTATACTCCATTAAACTAAAACATTACTCATGTTACCACCTTAACCCAATGATCTTGGCATCTCTACTAGTGTGATAACCTGATAGTATGGGCCTCTAAATGGGTTATATATGAAGTACATAGCATCAACCCTGAAAGTGTCCATTCCTTTTCCTCTCTGTAGCCCCAGATCATCTGTCAAAGTCTACCTATTTACCCAATAACTCCATTTCTAAGAATCTATCCTAAAGAAATAACTCAGAGAAAAAAATTTATATAAAAAGATATTCATTAAGCATTATATATAACAGCAAATCTTCAAAACAGTTTAAATGTCCCAAAATAGCAATTAAGTACATTCCCTCTATGTAAGTATTTTAAATTATGTTTCTATAGCATATGTAACAATATAGAAAAAAGGTTATTGCATACAATTAGGTGAAAAGACCAGGCTATATAAACCTACATAATTATATGATTATAACTATTTAAAGAAATCTACATATAGAATAAAGAATGAAGTAATTACACTAAAAAAAACTGATGGGAGATAACTTTGGGTAGTAGGATTATTGCTCTTTTAGTCTTCTTTCTATATTTTCCAATCTTTCTTTTAAAAAATGTATATTTCTTTTACTATATTTTCCTGATTATCAATAAAACACACTTCAGAAAAATCTAGAAATAACTAAAAACAAAAGAAAAAATAAATCACCCATAATCCCATCACCCATACATCTGATGAGTATCCTTTCAGTTTTTTTGCTATGTACACATGTTATTTATATATATTTTTCTGATAGAGTTGGTATATTACATACACTGTAACCTTTTTTTAAATTTTATTCTTTTTTAAAATATAATTCATTAATTAATTAATTTATTTATTTATTTATTGGCTGCGTTGGGTCTTCTGTTGCTATGTGCCTTTCTCTAGTTGTGGTGAGCGGGGGCTACTCTTTGTTGTGGTGTGAGGGCTTCTCATTGTGGTGGCTTCTCTTGTTGCAGAGCACAGGCTCTAGGCGCGCAGGCTTCAGTAGTTGTGGCACACGGGCTTCAGCTGTTGTGGCTCGTGGGCTCTAGAGAGCAGGCTCAGTAGTTGTGGCACACAGGCTTAGTTGCTCCGTGGTATGTGGGATCTTCTGGACCACGGCTTGAACCCGTGTCCCCTGCATTGGCAGGCGGATTCTTAACCACTGCGCCACCAGGGAAGCCCCTGTAACCTCTTTTCTCAATATACTGTAAATATTTTTCTGTACTAATACATATTTGTCACTTCTAGTAGCTGTATATTTTCAATACAAATTTCTCAATCAATCCCCTAATTTTGATAATACTGCTTCTAATTGTTTGCTATTATATATAACCATAACACTGTGTTTAAGAGAGTAGACAATAAAAGCTAACCTCCCAAGGTTCATATCATAGATCTTCCACTTACTAGCTTCAAAACCTTGGGTAAGTTACTTATTCACCAGATACCTCAGTAAATGAGTTAAAATGTATAAAGCTCTTGGAGACATAGCAAGTCTTAATATGTTACTCATGTTAACACCTTAACCCAGGGATCACTCTTTCATTACTACTGGTAAGAGGAAACTTAAAGACTAGTTATAACACTAGCTACATAATTATTAAAAGCAAAAGAAAGAAAAAGAAATTCAATACTTTAATACTTTAAAAAGTAGGTAAAATACTACCCATTCTTCCAGGCCTTTCTAAAGCAACCTCTTTTCTGAAGCCTTTCCCAATTTCTACCAACCAATGGTGGTATTCCCATACACTGAAACACACAGCAGTGTATTTGTTCCTTTCTTAACAAACCTGGCATATTCTATCTTGAATTATATTTATGCGTGTAATGATTATCCCTTTCAGAACATAAGCAACTAAAAGACGAAGACTGTGCCTTATTTACCTTTGTATCCTAGTAGCAATTGGCACAATGACTTACACTTATGAGGCATCTAATAAATAATTTTGGAACTGAATGGACTCTAGGTTCCAAGCAAGGCAACATATCAATAACTTAAAGGAGACATATTGTACAGTTCAGCATTCTCTAAATTCAGAAAAGTAAAAAGCCTACCAGGGACTTCCCTGGTGGCACAGTAGTTAAGAATCCACCTGCCAATGCAGGGGACATAGGTTTGATCCCTGGTCTGGGAAGATCCCACATGCCATGGAGCAACTAAGCCCGTGCACCACAACTACTGAGACTGCGCTCTAGGGCCCGCAAGCCACCACTACAGAGCCTGAGCACCACAACTACTAAAGCCCGCGCGCCCTATAGCCCGCGCGCCGCGACTATTAAGCCCGTGGGCTGCAACTACTGATGCCTACGCACCTACAGCCTGTGCTCCGCAACAAGAGAAGCCACCGCAATGAGAAGCCCATGCACTGCTACTAAGAGTAGCCCCTGCCTGCCGCAACTAGAGAAAGCCCATGTGCAGCAGCGAAGACCCAATGCAGCCAAGAAAAAAAAAAGGCCTACCAAAAAAATTTTGAGAATGCAGATACAAAGATTAATGAAAGCAGTGAAATTTTCTCAGCAATGGTGAAATCTTTGGGCTTAGCCAGAGTCCTTTACCTCTTAGAGATTTTTGTTTTAAAAAACAACACAAAACTGCTTGTCAGAAACTAAGATAAAGACATCAATTCCATACAAAGAAAAATCCAGGGACTAAAGAAAGTTATCTGATAGGAGTGTAGTAAGCAGCCAGAAGAAGTGAGAGGGTTAGGAATAGATGACTCAGCGACTAACAAAATCAGGCTGGTTTAAAGGAGAGACGTTTGTAACATAGTACACTCAAACTCACCCTGGTCGCCGCTTAATAGCCCTCTGGACAATGGCTCCTCCACCTTGAATCCCAGGCCCAGGGTTTCCAGAGGCAATGGCTGGACCCAGTGATGGTACATCTGATGTCATTTCTGTCAGAGAAAAACAGAAATACAGATTTTAAAAAGATTGTTCTTGCTTATTATTATCATCAAACTGGCTAGAAAAAAGGCTCAAGCTATGGATAAAATCTCAGGAGTTTGCTAGAAAACCCAAATGCTCATGTACAGACTGCTTTTCTTGAATTCTTACCCTGGGAAAAGATTTCCCTACGCTGGGAGAATGCAGAGACAGAGGCGCGTGCAGCCGGGAGGAGCATCCCAACCTGGGAGCGACCCCCTCTTTTAAAAGCTGGTAATAGTGACATAATATTAATCCAAAACACACACACAAATTGGTTTACATATTTCACTAATGCAACAAATATATATAACTTAGCTCCTCTGATTTATTTTTTTTGGAAAATACAAAAAAACCCAAAATTTAAAAAATCACCTAAATTGCAATACTCAAAAAAAATTATATAGAGTAGGGACTTCCCTGGTGGTCCAGCAGACTCTGTGCTCCCACTGCAGGGGGCCCGGGTTTGATCCCTGGCCAGGGAACTAGATCCCGGGTGCTGTAATGAAGACCCAGTGCAGCCAAATAAATAAATGTAGTTTTTTTAAAGTTGAGCTCATTTTATTTATTTTTTCCCTCAGAATATATACACCTATCTCTGATCAAAAACAGGCAAATTTGGTCATGGCTAATTATGTTCCAGAAAGCCTGCTACAATTTTTGCTCCCACTAACAGGATATGAGAGTACCTATTTCCCTCACCAGGACTGCATATTATACTTTTTAATTTCACCAAACCTGACAGGTAAAAATGGTACAGTATTTGTTGTAATTCTTGTATCTTTTTACATTAGTCATCTGAAGTCAATGAGTTGACTATTCATATCTTTAATATTTTTAAACTGAATATCTTTTTCTAATGAATTTGTAAGATCTATCAGTATATAAAGGATATTACAGGATATCAATATATAAAAGATAATATATGCCTGTTATGTATTACAAATATTTTTTCATCACCTACCTTAGCCTTTAAATATATAACATTTCACAATTTTATGCTGTAAAATTTATCAATGTTTTCCTAAATAATTCCAGGATTTCTGTCTTACTTAGGAAAGCTCCCCACCCTCGAGATTATTTCTATATTTTCTTATAATACTTTTGTGTTTCACATTTAGATTTTTAATCCATCTGGAATTTACTACTTATGCCTACCTGGCATAAGGCAGGACTCTGATTATTTTCTTATACATGGTTAGATAATTATTCTAATATCATTTATGGGGTAATCCATCCTTTCCTCACTTATCGGAAATGACTCCTTTACTACTTTACTTTTACTTTACTACTTTACTTACTTTACTTTACATTTAGGTGTCTACAAATAATTGATCTCTTTCTATACTTTTATTCTGTATTAATATATTTTCCAGCTCCTATGTCAATACTGAACACGTTTAATGACAACAGCTTTATAGTACATTTGAATTATCTAATAGGAAAGTCCTCCATTCTCCATTAATTTATTTTACAAAATTTTCTTATTAAATGTCATATACTACTTCTGCTTCAGCCAAAAATAAATAAATAAAATTTTTAAAAATTTTAAAAATTAAAAAAAAAAGTTTAAGAGATGAGTGGGAAATCAACACATTCTCTGATGATGGAAAACTAAGGAGGATTTGTCACCAGCAGACCTATCCTAAAAGAATAGCTAAACAGGGACTTCCCTGGTGGTCCAGGAGTTAAGAATCCACCTTCCAATGCAGAGGATGCAGGTTTGATCCCTGGTCAAGGAACTAAGATCCCACGTGCTGTGGGGCAACTAAGCCTGCACGCTGCAACTTCTAAGCATGCGGGCCACAACTAGAGAGCCAGTATGCTGCAAACTACAGAGCCCACGCGCTCTGGAGCCCGCACGCCACAACTACAGAGCCCACATGCTCTGCAACCCACGCGCCACAACTACAGAGAAGCTCACGCGCCACAACGAGGAGTCCGCACCGCAGGGGAGGATCCGGCATGCCGCCAACAAAGATCCGGCATACCTCAACTAAGACTCAACGCAGCCAAAAATAAAATAAGTAAGTATTAAAGAGAACTTACAAGAAAAAAAAGAAAATTAGCAAAGATATAGAAGTTCTCAATGATACCTCAATCAACAGGTCCAATTAACATTTATAAAAACACTACACCCAACAACAGCAGATATACATTCTTTTCAAGTGTCCCCAAAACATATACCAAGATAGACCATATCCTGGGCCTTTAATCAAACCTCAACAAGTATAAAATAATTGCGGGAATTCCCTCGTGGTCCAGTGGTGAAGAATCCGCCTTCCAATGCAGGGGATGCGGGTTCGATCCCTGGTTGGGGAACTAAGATCCCACATGCCACGGGGCAACCAAAACTGCGAACCACAACTGGAGAGAAGCCTGCGTGCCACAACTACTGAGCCCACATGCTCTTGAGCCCGCAACTAGAGAGAAACCCACAATGAAGAGCCCGCATGCAGGAAGACCCAGTGCAGCCAAAAATTTAAAAAATAAATAAATAAATAAAATAATCATAGATTGGATTCTCCAACCACAGTGGAATCAAACTATTTAGAAATCAGTAACAGAAAGATAACAGGAAAATCTCCATTCACTTGGACATTAAATAACACATTTCTAAATAATCAAAGAGGAAGTCTCAAAGGGAATAAAAAGTACAGTGAACTAAAATTAAAGTGAGGAACTTCCCTGGTAGTGCAATGGTTAAGAATCCGCCTGCCAATGCAGGGGACACAGGTTCAAGCCCTGGTCCGGGAAGATCCCACATGCCGCGGAGCAACTAAGCCCGTGCACCACAACTACTGAGCCTGCGCTCTACAGCCCACAAGCCACAACTACTGAGCCCACCATGTGCCACAACTAGTGAAGCCCCTGTGCCTAGAGCCCGTGCTCCACAACACGAGAAGCCACTGCAATGAAAAGCTCATGCACTACAACAAAGAACAGCCCCCACTCGCTGCAACTAGAGAAAGCCCATGCACAGCAATGAAGACCCAACACAGCCATAAATAAATAAATAAATAAATTTATTTGTAAAAAAATTTTAATGAAATTACAAGATGGTAAAATTTGCGGGACACCTCAGAAGCTATAGTCATTAAAATGCTATATTAGAAAACAGGAAAAGTCAAATAAATCATCTAAACGTCCACCTCAAGAACCTAGGATAAATAAATAAATAAATAAACCCAAAGCAAGCAAAAGGAAGGAAATAATGGAAAACACAAAATAATAAAATTTTAAAACAGAATAACAATTTAAAAATAAAACAAAGAATTCTTTAAAGAGATCAATAAAATTGACAAACCTCTAGCAAGACAAACAACACACAAACTACCAAAATCAGGAAAAAAAAAAAAAAACAGGGATATCACTAGAGAGCCTGAAGAAATCTAAGAGATAATTAGGAATATTAAAACTTACACACATAAATTTGACAACTTAGACCTAAAGGATCAATTCCTTAAAAAATACAAACTAAAACAACTGTCCAAACACAAAATAGTTGATATGAATGGCCTCATACCTATTAGAAAACTGAATTCATAATTTAAGCACTCTCAAAAAAAAAAATTCTAGTCTAGCTGATTTCACTGGAGAATGCTACCAAACATTTAAAGAACTAACAGTAGTGCTACACAATCTCCTCCAGAAACTATTTGAGGAAGGGGACACTTAGCAATTCATCTTTTGAAGCTAGTATTACCCTGATAGAAAAACCAGACAAAGACAGTAGAAAAACAAAACAAAAACTAGAGATCAATGTTCCTCATGAAAATACATGCAAAAATCCTTAACAAAATATTAGTAAACAAAATTTAGCAATTTTAGCAAACAGAATTTAGCAATAGCAAAAGAACTATACAACGTGGCCATATGTGTTTTATTCAAGGGAAGTAAACTGGTTCAATACTTAAAATCAATCAACATATTAATTGGCTAAGAAGAAAAATAACATGATCATATCAGCCTATGCATAAAAAGTATTTGCTAAAATTCAATACCCATTCTGATAAAAACATAGAAAAATTAAAATAAAGTGCAACGTCCTCACCTTGCTAAAAGTATCTACAAAAAGAAAGAAAAAAAAACTACTGCTAATATTATACTTAATGGTGAAAGACAATGTTTTCTCCCTAAGATTTGGGAACTAGGAAAAAATGTTCACTCTCATCACTTATTTAAACATAGTGTATGAAGTTCTAGCCTGTGCAAAAGTGCAGGAAAAGGAAATAGAAGGCATACAGATCAGAAAGGAAAAAAATAAAACTGTCCCCATTTGCAGATTACATGATTGTCTTTGCAGAAAATCCTAAGGAATCTACCAAAACAAACAAAAAACCTTCCTAGAAGAAATAAGTGAATTCAACAAAGTTGCAGTATACAAAATAAATATACAAAAATCAATTGTGTTTCTACATACTAGCAATTAACACATGGGCATCAAAATTTAAAATATAAAACCATTCATAACCACTTCAAAAAAGAAAAAAATATTTCAGTGTAAATCTATCAAACAGGCACAACATTTGTATGCTGAAAGAATGCTGATCAAAGAACCAAAGACCTAAATAAATGGAGAGACATAACATGTTCATTGATTGGAAGACTCAACAAAAGATGTCAATTCTCTTCAAACTGATAAACAGGTTTAATGCAATTCCTATCAAAATTCTACCCAGATGTTTTTGAAGATATAAACATGACCATTCTAGGGACTTCCCTGGTGACACAGTGGTTAAGAATCCATCTGCCAATGCAGGGGACACAGGTTCGATCCCTGGACTGGGAAGATCCCACATGCCACGGAGCAACTAAGCCTGCAAGCCACAACTACTGAGCCCACGTGCCTCAACTACTGAAGCCCACATGCCTAGAGCCCGTGCTCCACAACAAGAGAAACCACCACAAAGAGAAGCCTGCGCACTGCAATGAACAGCAGCCCCTGTTCGCCACAACTAGAGAAAGCCTA